CAGAACAAAAGCATTCTGTCAAATAGGAGCGGAGAAGTAATCCAGGGCCAGACTGCTTGTGTTAGAATCCTAGTAAGCTGTGTAACTCTATAGCCCTCAGTTTTGATTTTTTTTTTTTTTGTAACACGAATTTAATTATTTTGACTTAAAAAAATTAGATAGTGTGTGGTCATTAACTCAATAAACGTTTATTGTGTGACTCACACTGACACTGTTCTAGGCACTGGGGATAGAGCAGTAAATAAAACAGACAGAAATCCCTGCCTTCAGGAAGGTTGCATTCCAGTAAAGACCCAGATAGTAAATATTTTAGGCTTTGGTATGGATAGTAGTGGAATGTGGTCAGGGTAGTCCTCACTGAGAAAAAGACCTGAAGTTGAGCCAGGAGATCAGGGGGCATTTAGAGAAAGAATATCCCAGGACAGACTGTCAAATGCAGAATCCCAGAGGCAGTTGTGTACCTGCAGCAGCAGGGTAGACGGTTTGTCTGGAGCAGAGTAAAAAGGAAATAAGATCAGAGACAAGATGACAGGGGGCTCAAATGCCATTTTCAAAACTGATTTTTACTCTGAGTGAGACAAGAAGCCTTTGCAGTTTTAAGCACAGTAGTGACCTGCTCCAGAGCACTAATTTTAATTTTTTGGCCTGAGAAATTGGATAGATGGAGGGGACCAGTAGAGACTGTAAGAAGGGAAGTAAGGAGGGTCAGAGTCTCGGGTATAGAAAGATTATATTTGAAATACCTATTGGGTATCCAAGTAGAGATGTGAGGAAGATAATTTCTGCAAGAGTCTCGAGATCCAAAAAGAGGTTTTAAATTCAGGATATAAATGTAAGTGTTGTCAACCCATCGACTGTATTTAAAATCATGAAACTGGTGAAATCACCAAGAAATTACATTTGGAAGGAAAGAGAAGAGGTCCAAGCATTGTGCCCTTGGGTACTCCAAAAGTAGGGACCCAGGGAGATGAGAAGATAGCGGAAAAGGAGATGGAAAAGGGCAACCGGTAAGATAGGAGGGAAACCCGAAAGAGCAGAGTTGCGGAAGCCAACTGGGAAAGTATATACTGGAAGAGGGAACAAGCAGTCGCATCACTTGCACCCAAGGGTCCATGCAAAATGAAGACTGAGAACTGAACCGCTGTTGTAGCAGCATGAAGACCTTTAATAGCATTGAAGAGAGCAGTTTCAGGGAAGTAGTAGGAATGAGAGCCTCGTTGGAGCAAGGTCAGAGGAGAGCAGGAAGAGAGATATTCGAGATACAGGGCACACACAGCTTTTTCAAGGAGTTTTTGTGGGTTTGTTGTTTGTTTTTTTATACAGAAGGAAAGCATTAAGATGATCATTGGAAGGGAAGTGGATCAAGAGAGGCTTTGGGGTGTTTTACTTTAAGATGGCAGAAACAACAGCATTTCTGTATGCTGGTAGAAAAGCTCCAGGGGAAAAAAGAAAAAGAAAATGAAAAAGAGAAAAGAAAAGAAACAAGGAAGAAAGAATGAATTACTGGACAGTCCCATGGGGGGAATGAGATCTGATGCAGAAGTGTGCATGAGTGGGTGGGTGGGTGGTCGGGTTCACACTCTGCCATGTAAAATGCTTAACCTGGTGCTTAGCACTAAAAAAAGTCCAAAAGGGACAGATATGAAACCACTCACTGTCAATTAAAAGGGTTTTGATAACATGATCCTACAGTTCCAGTGCAGCCACAATATTTGGTAGATTAATGAAAATAAGTTGAGTAGAATAATGAAAACAAAACAAAGACATTTAGAAGCAACGTTGAATCACATTGACTAGCCTCCAGGATATTGGTCTAAAGGTAAACAGAGATACCTGAGTGAAAGTAGGAAGAATCACAGATACCGTTTACATTCGATTCATGAGGTGAGTCTGACAGGACCAGGATCCCACAAGGTACTTGACTCCTTGTAGATGCTCTGAGTTGATTAATTATCTTTGCCCTTTATAAATTCAGCATGATGAAAAACCCCTGTCTCTTGCCTCACAAGTACTGCATGGTATAATGTTATTTCCATGCTCTTTTCATGTTCTTCCACTGAATTTTATACTGACTTATAAAGGCTAAGCTGTAGGGCAGAGCTGTGATAGAAGACCAAACAAAGGAAGGTGGGTGGTAAAAGCATAACTGCCACCTCCACTGGGAAGAAAATGGGGTCAAAGCAACTACGATGTAAATTGTGTTCCCAATATTAAAATAAATCTAACACTTATGAAAAATGTATCAGCAAACATGTGACTTTATGAAACCATACTTTGTTATTTAATACAAGTATCTTTTTACTATTATAAGAATTGTGCTTTGCTGAGGTCAGATAATAAGTTTCAATAAATCTCAATTCTTCGCTTGTTTCAATATAAATTTGGAGATGCATTCCTTTGGAAAAAGACTTGAGCCCCCAGGTATAATAAAATCATATTTAAGAATGTAGCAGTGTGGGGCACCTGGGTGGCTCCATCGCTGAGTGGCCAACTTCAGCTCAGGTCATGATCTCCTGGCTTGTGAGTTCAAGCCCCGCACTAGGCTCTGTGCAGACAGCTCAGAGCCTGGCTCCTGCTTCGGATTCTGTGTCTCCCTCTCTCTCTGCCCACCCCCAACTCGTGCTCTGTCTGTCTGTCTCTCTCTCTCTCTAGGATAATTAAACATTAAAAAAATTAAAGAATGTAGCAATTTGGCAGCATGTAATTACAGAAAAAGCAACTTTTGGAAGACATTAATAAAAGTACTAAAACTCCTTATTTTTACAATGGTCAACTCAAAACCAAACCATCAAAATCATTAAAAATTCAGGAAAGCTCTAGAAATCCACTGTTGTGACCTTTTTCTCTTCACAATTGTTCTCATCTAAGAATAACAATCACTAATATGATAGAAACTATCAGTTTAGCTTTTATTTAACTCAAGCCTCTGTGCCTATGATCCAGGATTATCTTTTACATTTTTTGCACGTTTCTAATTTGTAAAGTTTCTTTCTTGAACTCTGCACAACAGTTTTAGTACAATGTATACATTGTCCCTAAAGTAGACTGAAATGTTTTAGGGGGCCTGTGGCCAGGACATATAGAAGCTGGTGCCTATTAACCAACAGGCATATCGATGCTGGCCACCTGTTGCTCAACCTCATCATTTATCTTGGAGTTAGGCAAACTATACCAAGTCCAGCCTCCCATATATTTTTGGAAATAATGTCTTATGGAACACAACCCCATTCATTTGTTTACTATTGCTTATCGCTCCTTCCACAAGGCAAAGTTGAGTAGTTGTAGGACCACATGGCCTGCAGAGCCTAAAATATTTACTATCTGACCCTTTATAGAAAAACGTTTCCCATCCCTGGTTTAACTAATGGTTGGTATCCTCATTAACCAATGTTTGTTGAGAAATAGATACATATGCATATGGTAACGGGAGGAGGAATCAGACAGATTCTATGAATATGTGTGTGCTGTCTTTGAGAGGGAGATTTTTTACATTTTTCATTGATTTCACAAATTCAGAATTTATTAAATGGGTTTCTGTTAGGTGACAGGTACCTACCCGTCAAGTAGACTTCCTTTTTAGGTAGTCATGAGAGGAAAATTTTTCCAAGTGTTTCTATCAAAATGCATATTTTGAAATTCACTTTTGTCCCCTCTTGTCTGTAATTTTTATAACTTTTTCTACTTTTTATATATTCACACAGCATCAAAACCTCCTACCTCACTTTGTCTTATCATTAAACTAGGGCTTTGAAAAATGTAAGAGGGTTCTTAAAAGATTAGTTATTCCTCAACTATTGTCATTTATTTTTAAATGTCGGTGGACAGCTCCTTTCCAATACCATTTGTGTAAAAAGAAATATATTGAGCTGAATAACCCTCCAAATGGTGATATTTTTTTTCCATTGTTAATTTTGGAAGTCCTAATTTTTGTCTGTCCTGAGCAAGAATCTAAACATTTTAATTCTTTCAACAGAGTACCATAGTAAGTTTATAGCTGCTGTGCCTTAGACAACCTATACTTAGGGAGAGGAAATTTCCAATTCAATTTACAATGATGTCAAGAAACAACACATATCTGCAGGCATAGATAAGAAAAACATTCAGGGGTACACAGTGATAGGTCTACTTAAATAAATAAAACTTTTGGTACTAGTGATTAGGTACACAGGATTATTATATGTTTAATTGGCTAACGTTACAATTTGGAATTACTTCTAGTCACATTTAATTGGATTTGAAATCTCTGGAGAAAAGAAATAGAGAGGCCCAGCAGAAACAGTCATAAAAGTAAACTGTTTTTCCAAAGGGTGCTAAGCAATGAATTAATATCAATTGCACAATAGTTTTTTAATATCTTCTCAGCTTAATAAGACTAATTCAATGGTTGTACACACTAGATACTAAAACCAATTCAATTAAACACAAAAGTTGGGGGAGGGGAGTGTTTGTTGAATTGGAAATTTTTATTTTTACTTTTAAGGAGGCCAATTTAATCAGAGGTAAATAATCTTTAATTCAGATAAAGTCTAAGATATGCTTACATGGCAGTACAATACTTAGCTACATATGCTATGTTAGGTTTGAAGGCATTTTAGAGTCCATAACATATGTGTTGCTCTATAAAGGTTTTGAAGCTTAATAAGGGGCAACCAAAACAATGCATTCCTTCATAGTCTTTAAATATTCTTATACTGTGCAAACAGAAAAAAAACATCTAGAATACAAATGCTGTTTGCTTCTTATTCTTTTAGCTTAGATTACAAAAAAGAAACCAAAAACAAAAACAAAAAAACAAAAAACAAAACCCAGAAAGCAAAAACAACCCTATTTTCTACATCCTAAAATTTTCTTGTGCTTTGCTCAATATTAGTCTAGTCAAATTTTATATATTACAAAATCTTCTTCTTCAGTATTTATATATACTGCCTGTTATGGTTTTGGTCTGTCCTATAAATTTTTTTGTTTTTTGTTTTTTGTTTTTAATTTGTCCTTGTTCTTAGGAGTGCCATGATTGCTGACTACATGTTCTGGCTCTGTGGAGGAAGTGAACAGTGTATAAGCAAGCTCATCAAACTGTATTGGCAGGTAAAAATTTATATACCAGTTAGGGAGGAGGAACCCATCTCATTTTTAGAACCAAAATGAAGAATTGGTGCTTAAATGACTGCTGAAGAAAGTAGCTTTGGCCATATCAATCAGAAGGACACCACTCAGTAGTAATGTATTTATAATGAACTAGACTTTCTGTGACTTATTTTAAGGGCAAAATTCAAGGTTGTTAACCCTTGGCCCATACTTCAGTTTTACAACCCAATATAAATTTTAGACATCCCAGGAACTATTTTCCCAAGTATGCTGCTATAATGACATGATCCTTTAAAATATGAACATTGTATTCTCATAGATTCTTCTTGATCTATGACCTGTAAAAGCAGATGCTAGAAGTAATATCAATTACATAATAAAGGAAAATGCAAAGATCAGTTGTATTTGTTGAGTAATATTTAGTGTTGGAACACTTAACTAGTAACAAACTGCAGATCTTCTTTCTCATTTATTATTCAAAATGGCAGCAAGAAGTCATATCAAAGGTCAATGAGATCCCAAGAAGAGAGTCATAATTTCTTAAATTATAAAGAGAATTTAGAATTTACTAGTTCAATCTCCTTTACAACATACAAATCTATTCATTTCCTGTCCTCTCTGAGCAAATTGTTGATGACTTTCTGCTGAAATGGATCCAAAACGAAGAGCTCATTTAAGCCCAAGAAACAACATCCAATTTGCTAATTATTAAACTGTTTTCCTCATATGAAATGGATTTCTACTCCCTTAAAACTTCAATCCAGTGGTTCCCAGTAGGGCAACATGGACAAAATGGAAACACATTTCCAAATGAAATTTTTTCAACTATTTGAAAATGAACTACAAAAGCCAGCTCCCTCCTCCATATCTTCTCCTCTCCAGACTGTATGGGGCATTTTATTCCTCATACTTCAAGATATTGAATTGAATTGAATTGAATCGAATTGAATTGAATATGAACCTTTTGAACTAACTAGAATAAGATCTGCTAAAACACAAATATGAAAGGGAGAAATAATCATCAATAATCTTTGATACTTCCTGATTTTTCCCATATTTTCACTACTGTGTCTTGGCCCATTTTCTGTTTTTATATCATGTATTTATTAGAAAATAAAGTATTAGATTTATCATGTAAAAGGCTCACTAGTTTATATGGTTCCATCTAAATATTTGGAGTTTTAGCCTACTATAAAAAATAAAGGTTTACATTAGTCCTACTATACTTGAGACCTGTGACTATTTGAAAAAAATTGACCTTCTAGTAAACAAAATTTTAATCTCAAAAATATTTTTAATTTGCTCAGAGGTTAAAAATCTTCCTAATGGAATCTGTAACATGCAAAACAGCAGCACTTATAGTCATGTAATTAAATAGTTGTAAAGAATTGCTAGATGTAAAAGATAAGCAAATAATATGGGCTTTGATATAATAAAGGAAGAAGACTTTTTATTAAAGGATTTCAGAAGCTTCTGGAGAGAAGTGGGAAAGGAGTTGAATCTTAAAGGTTAGATAACATTCAGCAAGCTTGGCATATAGTAGGTCCCAAATAAATGTTTGATTTAATTTGTTCATTCACTAAACAAACAAATATCAACTACTTCCTGTGTTTTCTACATTGAACTAGGAAAAAATAGGTCTAGTGTTGGTACAACCTAAGACTGGTTAAAACTAACTGTAAATAATTTTTTTTTCTGTTCCCTTTAGCTTTCAAAGAACACTAATACCCCCATTTTATTTACATCAAACTAAGAAAATAATCTCCACTTACCAATACATGCATATTTGCTATACAAAAAGGAAGAAAACAAATACTATTATTTAATTATCCTGTATTAATAAAAGATAAGAAAAACATATTTTTCTTTGTATTCTCTTTTTCTCTTTTATTTTTATTATTATTTTTTTAATCCCCATCACCTGTTTAACCCATCACCCCCACCTACCTCCCTTTTAGCAACCATCAGTTTGTTCTCTATAGTTAAGAGTCTGTTCTTGTGTTTGCCTCTCGTTTTCTCTCCTTTTTTCCCCCTTTGCTTGTTTGTTTTGTTTCTTGAATTCCACACATGAGTGAAATCATATAGTATTTGTCTTTCTCCGACTGACTTATTTCACTTAGCATTATACTCTCCAGATCCATCCATGTCGTTGCAAATGGCAAGATTTCATTGTTTTTTTATGGCTGAATAATATTCCATTGTTTATACATACCACTTCTTCTTCTTTATCCATTCATCAGTTGTTGGACACTTGGGCTGTTTCCATAATTTGGCTATTACAGATAATGCTGCAGTAAACATCTTGGTGCATGTATCTCTTTGAATTAGTATTTTTGTATTCCTTGTGTTAATACCTAGCAGTGTAATTGCTGGATCGTGGGGTAGTTCTAGTTTTAACTTTTTGAGGAACCTCCAGACTGTTCTCCAGAGTGGCTGCACCAGTTTGCATTCCCACCAATAGTGCAAGAAGGTTCCCCTTTCTCCACATCCTCACCAATACCTGTTGTTGTTTTTTTGTGTTATTGATTTCAGCCATTCTGATAGGTGTGAGGCAATAATCTCATGATAGTTTTGATTTGCATTTCCCTGATGAAGAGTGATGTTGAGCATCTTTTCATGTGTCTTTTAGCCATCTGTATGTCTTCTTTATAAAAATGTCTATTCATGGGGCGCCTGGGTGGCGCAGTTGGTTAAGCGTCCGACTTCAGCCAGGTCACGATCTTGCGGTCCATGAGTTCGAGCCCCGCGTCAGGCTCTGGGCTGATGGCTCGGAGCCTGGAGCCTGTTTCCGATTCTGTGTCTCCCTCTCTCTCTGCCCCTCCCCCGTTCATGCTCTGTCTCTCTCTGTCCCAAAAATAAATAAACGTTGAAAAAAAAATTTAAAAAAAAATGTCTATTCATGTCTTCTGCCCATTTTTAATTGGATTATTCATCTTTGAGGTATTGAGTTACTCTTTTTCTCTCTTTTAATTTGAAGCAACTTGGCATACTGGAAAAGAGCCTTTGTTTGGAAATCAGGTCTGACTCCATCTAAGTTCTAACACCAAATAGCTATCTAACCTAAGGCAAGTTAGTTTTTAGAAGAACTTCAGCTAGAAAATAAGAGAGACCAGCAGAAAGTGTTTGGGAAGGTTTATTCTCAAAGCTCATTTTAGCACTGAAATCTAATATTTTAAGCACATCCAAAAATGATGTCACATATATTAAGATAGAAAGAAATGACATAATTAGAAATTTCATCCTGCAGATAAAGTCCATAAATTAAACCCTACTGACTAGCCTCAATAGAAGCACACCACACCATTCTCACCAATTACATACTTCCTTATGTGAGCCTGCCTCTCCCTGATCTTAAATTAAATGTATACATCTCCCCCCCCCCAAACCTTCTGTCCTAAATCAAAAGGGGCTTTTGGACATTGCCAGTGAGTGCCCAATCCATGCCATCTTTAAACACAGGGAGACAGGGATGCACCGCCACCCAATCCACCATGACAGTTACACTGCTGAATTTAAGAATGCCCTCCAAACATCACAGACAAGAAACTGTATCTTCATAAACATTCATAGACATCAATGAAGGCTTAGACAGAGGCTATTTTCACTACTTTTGTAGAGGATGAAGTTACTGTATATCTTCCTTTCAACCACATAAAATGCCTACCATTCTGATCAGTTATTCTTCTCAGAGGTCTTAAACAGGAAATGGAAAATTTCAGTATGTAAAAATGTGAGAACCAGTCTACACTACTCTCACAGATGGTTGGCTTATAAGCCCTTGGATACAAAAGAACAGACCTTCGCTTTGGTGAGCTCAAGAATGCTTTTGAATTGTATTAGGAATGGTTTTCATATCATCAACCCAGCAAGAAAAAAAGGCATACAACTCTACACTACATGAAAGCTCACATCAGAATATATCACTCTGAATAAAAGTGTTTGCACATGTTATTCTATAATAGCATCACTTCTTCAGAGCTAGAGAGGGTTGGAAATAACTTGTCACAACTGTACTTACATGCATGCCTCTGCAACTCGATACCCAGTCTCCTATTATCAGCCACTCTCATTTTCTGAAACACCTTGAGACCTCATCACAATTCTGAACTAATTAACAAAACGGAAATTCCCTAATCAGGCTGAGAATTAGCTCTTTTGAAGCAGTGACCACTATGTATTTATACACTACTCCTAAAGTAACAATTTTATTTCAAGATTTTTATAGTAAACTGGAGTCCACCTCTTAAGCCACTTACCCCTTAGATCCAGGGCTAGATTTAATAGCATTTGGAAACGAAACTCCCTCTTCTTCCATTCCTATTTCCCTTTCCTGGTTTCTCACCTTCACTTTCTGCCATGCTGTCAGCCACATGGATTTTCTGGTGTGTGGCTTTATCTCTTGCAGTGTGAGTAACAGAACCAATTCTGGTTTGCACTGCTTAGCAAAATGGAGTGAGAAAAGATAACAGCTAATTCTGTTGCAGAAGTCCCACAAAACAAGCACAGAGGAGCCCCCACTAAACAGGGGCAAGCTGCTTGATCAACCCATTCTTCACCTTAATAGTTTCTTTTCAAATTTCTTTCTTTCTTTTTTGAATGACAAACCTCTCTGAGAATCTGATTCAATTTACAAGCATCCACCTAGAAACAGTACTCATAAACATAAACATGGGAAAAAATAGGCTTACTATTTATCTCATTATATTGGAAATTGATCTACACATAGAATACTGAGAATTATAGGTTTTTCACTCTTATGAAAAGGTTATGCAATTTTTCTGGGATAAGAAATTAAAATGTATTCAACATCTCATCAATGTCAATATTTCCCTTTAATGGCAATAACAGGTACAACCCTGATTCACGAAATCTCTAATAGCGAATGGAATCAGAGCTCCTGTAGCTCACAAGATCTCATATGGATAGGCAGGCATCAAGAATAACCAAAATTCATATTACATCATTCCCTTTGTGTTCAAGTCAATGAGATTATCTTTGCT